AAAAAAAAAAAACTAAAAGAACCATTGATCTTTATACATTTCATGTGCTTTTTTTTTTCCGGCCAAAATCTTTTTGCTTTTTTGTTGCGTAAATCTGAAAAGAAATGTTTCAGAATCAAAAGAATGTCCATTTGGATGGTTACAAGTGTTGGATCAGTGCATAAAGTTGTATCCAAAACGAAAGACACCCGAACATGCACATCAAATTTGTCTGAAAGATTCATCGTCACTGCTAAACGCTATGAAAGATGGCGATTTCAATGAACCGTTGTTAAAGGAACTGATTCGAATACTTGAGGTTTGCTTAAACTTTTTTTTTTTTTTTTATAATTTACTCTTCTAAGTCTGAACTGAGCGCAGTCAGCAAACAGTTCGGCAATAGTGATAATCGGTTCATCAGCTGTGAAATGTTATTTGCCATTGTTTGCATAAACTTTTCCATCAGTTAATCCTAATATTTTAACAAATCTTTCAATGTTTTCTACGCCAAGCATATCGTATTCAACAGATCAAACCTTTAAGCTTGTTTTGAAAAATATGCTCATTGAAAACTACAATTTAAAAAGATAGCTTTGAGAATCGGGTAAAAATTAAAAGCAGTTCTACCTCTGAACTGTTAATTTAACAATTAAAATTGTAATGATAACAATCATTCAAAGCACTTAAAAGTTTTATAGAATAATATAAATATTTGAATATGAAGTATACCACACCAAAAGAGAAGATTATTTTATTATTCTTTCGAAGAAATATCGCCAATATAGTTACTGAAAATAATTACATATAAGTTAAGTTTAAGTTACCGCTATTAACTTTATGCTTTACCTTTTTCTTTCTTTCTTTTTCTTTCTGCAGTGCTAATAAAAATTTCTTTTTTTTAATATTTTAATTTACAAAAAAAAAAAAAATGAACAGAAATTTAATTACAACATTTCCATATTTATTTGCTTGTTTTCCACTCTTTCCATACTTTCTTTGTAAGCTTTCTGTTTTGATTTTTATACGCGAAAAGAAAATGGAAATTCTGTTGTTGTCCACAAATGAACAGAAGAAAATCAGTGAGCAAAAAAATGAAATAAAACATGGAGCAACAATTTTTTTTTTTTTTAGGAATTATTTGAAGATGGTTTTCAAGAAACCAAATGGCTTATTGGACCATTAGAATTGACTTCACTGAGAGCTGTCAGTGAACGAATATGGCGACGAAAGCACTCCACGGAACATCAGCATGCCTATGTGATGCTTTCCAGGACCGTCAACGTCACCTATACCCTGTATCTATTCTATTTAGAATTTTTAACAATTTTTTAGCTAACCACCTGTTTTCTAGTCACCAAATTTGACCATCTACAACTATCACATGGCAATTTTTTAACACTAAATATCACACTGTAGTCCGCTCAAAAATAAATACCCCGTTTAGTGTTAATTGATTGCAAGACTAAAATTCGTCAACAATTATAATATCTCAGACGGAAGAGCAAAAAAAAAAACTGAGTATTTTTATAGGGACATCGCTGCACCTTACGTAGAATATTCGTTTATTTGTTCCTTAGAATCTTCGATGAGACAAAAGCTGTTGTATCAGTCTCAATTTATGCCAGAAGGTCAGTTAAACCTTTGATTTATTTTTTAAACTACATTGATATAACGTTACAAGAAAGTAAAAAATCTTTTCTTTTCTGTAAATTGTATTCATAAGCATCTGATAAGCTGTTATCAGACTACTCTCTTTTTTGATTTTTTATTCTCTTCTATTTCCAATAATTATTTGAACAGTGCTGAAGAAATTTTTTTTTCAAGCAATTAAATTAGCTTTATTAATTAATGATTTTATTGTAGTGATTGAACTAACTGCTATTGCTGCTGCTGATACTGAGAAAAAAAAGAATTTAATTTTATTTGAATTAAAGGAGTGCCCGAATTGGTACAACAATTGGAGGCTGAATATTGGTGCAGAAGTGGTGCACTCGACGTTTACATCAGTTTACCCTGCAAAGCAGTTGGAAATCCGTCGCCAATTATTGAATGGTATAAAAATGGAGTTGAAAAGGTTAATTTACATATTAATTGCATTCATCATTTGTTCAAAAAAAAAAAAAAATGTTTTTTTAGTTCATTGAAAAATTAGACATTTTTAAAAACAATCAACTAAGTTTAATCGCTGATTGTTCAACAACCAGTGTTCTCACGTAACAAATCAAATATGATGAATCTTTATAACTGACAATAACAAAATATTCTAATTATTTCAACAAAAAAAACTTTTAAAAAAGACAAAAAAAAAGGATAAACAAACAAACAAAAAAAGAAATGATAAGCAGTAATAACTGG